CCAGAAGCCAAGCTGAACGAGATAGGGAGGCTGAATACACTGTTACAGATGAGCAACCATCTACCTCACAAAATGAAAATGTCAGCCAAGAAATTCCCTTCAGTTTGAGCCAAAGCCATATGAGGCAGTTTGAAGCAGCTCAACGACGTGATGAAAGCTTAAAACCCTTATGGGATGAAGTGGTCCCAGAAAACCACACACCCACAAGTGAAAATCCAGTTATGTTGAAAGTTGTGGAGAATAAATTGTACCGAGTTGTGAGGAGACAGAAAGGTCCCAAATTCTTTGAGGAAAGAACACAACTGGTAGTTCCACAAAAGTATAGGGCTAAAATCCTCAAGCTAGCCCATGATACCACATTCAGTGGACACCTAGGTATCAGGAAAACCAAAGATCGCATACAGTCAAGATTTTTTTGGCCTGGAATGGGAGGTGATGTGACAGCCTATTGTAAATCCTGTGAGACTTGTCAAATGGTGGGAAAAGCCAAAGACAAGACAAAAGGACTGTTACAATCCATTCCAGTTGTCACTGTTCCCTTTGACAAGGTCGGAGTAGACAACATTGGCCCTATGTCCCACAAGACGCTTGATGGACATAGATTCATCTTGACTGCCGTGGACTTTGCCACGCGATACCCAGAGGCAATTCCATTGAAGGAAACGGACGCCAAAACAGTGGCAGACGCGCTGCTCAATGTATTTGCACGCGTGGGTTTTCCCAGATCTATCATCACAGATCTTGGAGCCACCTTCATGTCCCAGATGATGCAAGAGCTGTTCCGGACCTGCAAGATCAAGCATCTTACTTCTACTCCATACCATCCTCAAACCAACGGCTTGACGGAAAGATTCAACGGTACCCTCAACCACATGCTGAAGGCGTACGTCCACAAGAACCCTAATGATTGGGACAAGAAACTACAACACTTCTTGTTTGCTTATCGGGAGGTTCCACAAGCCAGCACCAAGTTCAGCCCATTTGAACTGCTATATGGGAGAACACCAAGAGGACCTATGGACATTTTGAAGGAAGCATGGACAGGAGCAGAGGACATTCCGGAGAGTGATATCAACAGCTACATTGAGGACTTAAGGGAACATTTAACCAGCATGAGAGACTGCGCAGCCGAGAGTTTGTCAACTGCCCAGCTGAAGCAGAAGGAACAGGCGGATCTACACGC